CTGTCGGCAGCGCTGCCCGCAGCTGTTGTTGTTGTTGCTGCTTTTGTTCAACTTTGTGCTTCATACATACACGCATATAAACACGCATAGGTACGTGATGTAAATGTGTGCTGTTAAAACTGAACATAAACATGTATTCTAATTTAATTTAATTAATTAATTCATTCATCTTTTTTAATAATTTAATTTTTTTAAAATTTTTTTTTTTTTAATTTTTCCTTTTTGTGGAGAGTACAGGCTATTTTACTGTCGGGCTTGCTCGACTGTAGCGTTCTATCTTGTTTAAAGCTCGTTTTCCCCCCTTTGGAGCTCGAATTTTCCAAACGCCTTTCTTAGTGCGCACCTAAATAGTGATGGATACTATGAAAGGATACTTGAGTCCAAATTTCAGCTTTATTACCGTTTGGGCTGTCAGTCAGGACAAACTGTTTGATATATATAGTGATAACGCAACGTTTTAAGATAGAGTATGTGCAGAATAGGGGAATAATTATAAGTGTATATCCCAATTTATATAAATGTAAATTAACATATGTGTCTTTTCGTGCCTTATTGAGTTAATACGAATACGATAAAAAAATGTGAACGAAAGAATAAGAGCGTCCCAATGACTTGCAGTTGCCGTTGTTGATTTTCGTTTTAAAAACTTTAAAATGTTTTAAAACTACAGAAAACTATTTATTACAATTAAACAACTGTGTTCGATGGTCCACTGTATATGTTTTGTTTCTCTTTATTGTTTTAACCGTACGTAGAGAACCGTGTATGTGTAGTCCGTCAAGGACGTACGCAGGTTTTCAAGGGGGTCCAAAAAATTATAATTTTAATTAAATAATGCATGATGCGTTTAAATAATAAATAAATAATGCCAAATTTACTAAACAAAAATAAAAACAAGTAAAAAAGCTAAAGTCTGGGGTCCCGACTTTGAAATACTCTGTACATGTGCTTAGAATAATTAAAGAAATTAAAATTGCAATTGCGCCTATGTGAGTGTATGCATGTCTATGCGTGTCTATTCGTGTTTGTGGAAGCATGTTTGCAGTCAACCAAAGCATCAGCATCAACAACTGCTGCGGGCAGCGCTTGGGCAGCAAATATATTTATGGCTATAACTTCCTGCTAAAACGGTCTATCATGAAACGATGAAACTGCAAACTGGCAAAATTTGCAAAATTTGAGTTCGAAATTCCAAGAATTACGGGAGTTACAATTTGCTGGGGAGAGGGGGACGGGGGGAAATTCGAAAATACACATTTTCTGCGTATTCACATATGGCATCTGGGACTAAAATTTTGTGTCCCTAGGTCTTATAGTCTCCGAGATATTGGCGATTATACGAATGGAAAATCGGGAAAACCCCCATAAGGGGAAAGTGGTGGGTAAAATCAAAAAAATAAAACAAACTTGTGCAGTGTACACACGCATTTTTGTGCAAATTTGATGTCTCTACCTCTTATAGTCTCTGAGATCCAGGTGTTCATTCGGACAGACAGGGTTAGATCGACTCGTCTCATCATGCTAATCAAGAATATATATATATATATATATATATATATATATATATATATATATATATATATATATATATATATATATATATATATATATATATATATATATCTATATATATATATATATATATATATATATATATATATATATACTTTGTGGGGTCTGCCACGCCTCCTTCTGCCTGTTACATTTTCAGCTCCCGCAAACCTAATATACTCTTGTACATTTCAAGTTCAGAGTATAATTACTTTTGAAAATGTTAAATCGTTTTTAATTAAGTAACATTCACACATTAGTGTCTCAGTCAGTCATTCTGGACAAACTGTTTTATATATGTACATGCATATATAGAGATAGTAAGTTACAGAATTTAAACAGAATTAGTCAGTCAAATGCACTCGTCGTATTTATTGTGAGTTTTTTGGCACCCCTAATATATGTACATATTATAATTGGATCGTCGCGACGAGGGACTATTTATAGATTTCCCTACCGGCAAGCTTTGCTTGATTTGGTCGATATTTACATTGGATGTGCAACATATTTTTGATGCTGATTGTTCAGAAAAACTATAAGGTTTATATTCCAATAATTATTTTTATAAGGAAAAATGTCTTTGTTGGTGTTTTAAATCATACCTCCAGGTCAAACAAACGAGATTTGAAACCCAAAAGAGATGTCTGTGGCGCCGAGAATTGGTTTTGAGCCGAAATTGGGCGGATGAGATTTCTGTTAGGGTTGTAAAAAAACATCGATTTTTTTGACATCGTCGATATTTTGATAATGAGTACTCGATTTTTTCCGATGTTTTTTTGAACGCGATACGTCGACGATCATCGACATCTATTTATAAATGAAATTCAAAAGCAAACGGAATTTAGTGGAAGCAACAGTCTACATTAACCTTAAATTTGACATCATTAACAAAAAAGGATAAAATAATAAATGTAAATAATGCCAAAGTAAGTAAAAACTTGTATTAATTAAAAGACTTTGATTAATGTATCACTTAAATATTTGTGTTAATGTACGAGTGTATTCACCGGTATTTTACCCACTTGTGTGTGTACGCATAGACCTTTGTACATCCCACTTATATCACAATTAAATATTGTGTTAATTGTGATATAAGTATGTATGTGTACCAAATGAAATGGATCAATTGCTTCATTTCAGATTAACTTCAAAGCAGAGTATTTGCTGGCGTCATTTTGAAAAAATAAATGGGTTTTCCGTAAAGTGCAAAATTTGCGGGAAAGTACTTAAAACCGCGGGAAATACTTCTAATATGCAGGGCCACCTTCGGGCTGTCCATAAATTATTAGAAATAAATCAAATACGATCCACCATATCGTCATCTGAAGACAACAAGAACAATAAGGAAACTGAAGTTATACTCGTGTCAGATGCGCCACAAAATAAAACACAACGGCAACTAACTAAACAACAGAGTATTTGTTCACAAGAAGCGGTTGGCCCGAATAGTGTGACACAAATTGTTTGGGAAAATGGTGACACTCACAACAGATATTTGGAGTGAGTCTATGTCCATGCGAAGCTTTCTTGGGCTAACTGCCCATTTTGCTGTTGTCGTGAAACTAATGTCATTAAATATTGGCGTTTTTGAATTGAGCGATCGCCACACTGCTTCATACCTGGGCAATACACTTTTAAAATATTGCACAGACTGGGGTATTGAAAAGGAATGTGTTACCGCAGTTCTAACGGATAATGCCGCCAATATTACTTCTGCAATAGAGCGTACTTTTGGCAAAGAAAAGCACATAGCTTGTTTTGCGCATACTTTGAATTTGGTAGCGAAATCAGTTTTGTGCAAAAGCTCAGTTGCCGCTGTCGTTACAAAAATGAAAGCAATTGTGACATTTTTTCACCATAGCTGCACAGCAAGTGATGAACTTCGGAAAGTGACAGATAAGGTACTCATTCAGGACGTAGCCACTCGTTGGAATAGTACATTTTACATGATTAAGCGATTCTTGGAGATCAAACACTTTGTAAATGATGCTCTTTTAAGTGCTCCAACTGAATTAACAATGCTTAGTAGCCGCGAGCTGGAGGACGCTTCTAGTTTAATGCTGTTGCTGAGTCCGTTGGAGGATGCAACAAAAGTCTTGAGTGGAGAGAAATACTGCACTGCCAGAATGGTTATACCTATTATTAACATGATGGTGACTGACATCGGTTCCATGGATTTTTTAAATGGTAAAATGATTATATTAAAGAAAATCATGTTGGAGGAAATACAAAAAAGGATGGGTTTTATAGAGCAGGTTTGAAAACATAATTAATTTAAAAACAAAAATAGCCACTAACACATATGTATTCTTAATAGGTTCCAATTCTCGCAATATCGACCATAATAGATCCGCGGCTTAAGAAACTGCATTTTAAGGATCCATTAGTGTGCTCCAGAGCTTTTCGGCAAATAAATGGACTTATTAAGCCTACAGAGATTGGGTCTTCTGAGGAAACAGTCGACGACGATATTAATGGCTTGTCGTTTTGGGATCGTCATCAGCGCATAGCAAAGAAACAGGCTCCGATTGATTCCTACGATGAGGAGCTCTCCGCATACATACGCATGCCTTTATCGCCTGGGGGAAAAAATTCACTGGAAATTTGGGAAACAATAAAGGGGTCTTTTCCACATTTATACGAGATAGCCCAAAAGTACCTGCCGGTGGTGTGCACTTCTGTACCATCGGAGCGCATGTTTTCCGAAGCCGGTAACCTTTTAAACCAGCAGAGGAACCAAATTGGTCCGGGCTTATTGGACAAACTCCTCTTTCTAAAAAGCCTAGATAAAGAGCAATGGCAACTACAGTCCTAGACTTTTGACACTTTTTCTTAAACTTTAATTAAGACATTTTACCAAAGTGTACTAATAAAAACTGAATAAAACTTAATAATTAAATAAATAATATCAATAATAAGTAAATATTTACTGTTTAATGTATTACTCGTGTTTGTTATGCAGTAGTATTGAAAATACTTTTCCTAAGTGTGCCTTTAAAAATTTGTATGAGAATAAAAAAAATCGATGCATCGATGTTTCGTCGCGATGTATCGAAGTACAATCGATGGCACTTGCCGATATATCGATTGTGTGAAAAATCGATGTTTTGTAGTTTATTTACAACCCTAATTTCTGTGGTACCCCTGATAATGTCATTTTGATTCGTGTAAAATCTAGAGATGGAAAACAAGCCTAGAATTGCGCGAGAAATATAGTGACAGGCAAAACGTACTTATTAATAAACGTATCGAGTGTTTGGGCTTGTTGATGTATGTATGTTCGTTGGTAAGGGTACAAGAAAATAAGATTTCTTTCAAATAAAGTTTATTCAATTTCGTAAATAAATACAAGAGCTAAAGCGCTCGAAACTAATTATATAAAGAAATGAATTAATAAATATCTAATATTTATGAAAAATTGCAAAACACCTATGCAATGTTTTGTGTAAAATGATTATTTTAGTTTAAATAGCAGGATTCATAGGTTGGTACCATATACTTAATATTTATAAAGGCATCTTCTCCACCATGAAGTTCCAGCACTTGCAGTGTTTCATCAATAAGATCACCTAAATTCATGTTGTTCTTTTGAGCATAATCTATTTCATCACCGCAGTTTACTTCGATAGTATAGGTAAGGAAAATATTTAAAAGAACCGAATGTTTATGTGATTGTGTACTCCAACTTACAGTTCTTAACTTTAAAAGCATTGAACATGGGCAACAATTGTCTGTAGAAAGGTACCAAGCCTGGACCCACCATATCCGATGAAATAACCAACTGTTGTATTATCTTCAAAGTTGTGCACATAACTTCCAAGTTTCGTGTACTCAATGCATCTAACACAAACACGGAAAAATACGAAAGCTTAAAACAACAACACTAACAAAGATATTTGCGTGCCAAAGGAGTTATGTAATTTAGTGCCGCAGTACTTCAATGTATGTACTTACTCTTCAGTGGTAAAATTAATTGTGGTATGACAGGATGGATTTTATCTCCACCCGCCAATAGCAAATCGGTGACGCCCTGTCGTGCATATGTCTTGTAGGGGTGTTTCGTTTCAGCTAGACCATCAAAGAAGAGCGGTAGGTATAAGCTGTAATCCAGTTTCTCAATGTCCACCTGTGGATAATATTCAAAATAAGTTTATCTATGATTTTTGTCTATGTGCATCGGTAAAAGAAAATTTAAATTTTTTAAAATGTTGTTCGTTCTCTTTGTCTGTTTTACTATACCTCTCACTACATCGAAATAAAGAAGGGACATAATACAAGTATATTATTCATTTTCGTCATGATGAGGTGATATGAATTTGCTATGTATGTCCATCTGTTCGTGTGTTTGCTGGAATAACCTGACTTCTTCACCTTATTTTTGTAAGCTAACTAAAAATAACACTCTATCTAATAGTATTGACATTACATTTTGACAGAGTCATGCCTTCTGTATTAAGTTAATACAAATTTTCGGGAACATATACACCTAATTCTTTTATTTCATGGTTTAAAAAATAACACTCTCTTCAATAAATATTGACATTACATTTTGACAGAGTCATGCCTTCTGTATTAAGTTAATACAAATTTTCGGGAACATATACACGTAATTCCGTTTTTTCATGATTTAAAAATTAAAAATATTATATATGTATGGTTTTACGACTTTATTCCATTTAGCACGATTCATTTTGCATATGATCAATGTATTTTTCACGTTTTTTTACAGCACTTTTTAGGAACCAATCTACCGTGTAAAAACAGAATTAAGTGTACTTATGTTTATATACATAAATACATACCCATATGTATGCTGTACCCGCTTTGTGAGATTACATATGTTAAGTACATACATATGTATATAGAAATATTAATACAAATTAGCGTACATATACAGGTTTTATTGTATAGCCTTACAAAGGTGTGATAATAATAGCACAAAGAAGGACGTATGTCAAACCCTACAAAATATGTACATATGTATGTACTTGTATGTATGTACATATATACAGTGACAGCATGACCAACCGATTAATTGAGCGATATCCATCCTTGCGTCTATATTTCGAGCCCCAAAAATTATGATTGTTAGCATCCGACTACAAAATATAGTACATATTGGTTGGAATTGTAATATTGAATTAAATGAATTATTGAATAGCGTGCGAGGTATATAAGAACAGGGTGCGGGACTCTCTTGTGCCTCAAAGGTATAAAGGGTTATTAGGTTTTCGAACATGTACATATGTAATAGACAGAATGAGGCCTCTCTGACTTCTTGAACAATCCTGTTTTTTTTTTGTTTGCTTGTTGATTTTATTAATTAATGGGCATTATTATGCCATTAACACAAACATCATATGAATGCATGCATTATACAAAAGATATGGACACAAAAGATAAAAGATATGGATACAAAGTATAACCAATTACCCGTCAGTTAGACGTTTGTGTACACACATGCCACACATGCTATGTATGTATATATACTTGTATAAGCATGCTATATATAGTACATACATATAGTATATTTTTGACAGCACTGATATTTCGCATCTTTGACATGTAAGTTTCAGGAGTTTTGATTGTCTGGCAATTGGTGCTGCTTATAAATAAATACATACTATATAGTATACGATTTAAATAATTGGACACGCAGGTTTGCGCCATCACGAAAAACCTAATATGAGCTGAGCCCTATAACACTTATGAGTAACACGCAGACGTTGACTTTCTAGGTCACTAATTGAAGGTTACACTTCCCCTTACCGTCCAACCAATTTTATCCCCACCGCAAAGGTACTCCATTTTAATGGGCAAATCTCCGCGGTCGAAATACATTCGAAACAATGTGCTGCACTGAATAGAGCTTGCACTGGGCGAGATGGTTTTTGAACCGACAGCGACATTGAATGTGGTTATGGATTTTTGGTCCTTTCTTCCGGCTGTTAAGAGCAAACGCAAACTGCGCTTCATTATTCAAAGCAAAACCAACTATACTTAATTTACCTGTCGGATTCGGCGCTTTACCGCGGGCACTTGCCGATACTGTTGCTTCGTTAATGGGTCCGTTGATGACAACAGTGTTTTTTTGCTGCGACTGTATTGAAAAGGGCGGCACATAACGGGGTCGTACTGTTAAAGGTGCGCTATGTACCCTTGATTGGCTTAAATGCGGTGTTTTGGAAGATGTAGAACGGGGCTTGAGTGATATGGCGTTTGTATCGAAATCGTGCGATGGACCTGACCGTCGACCGTACGCTGTGGCAGTGCGTGACGTGCAAGACATTTGCCTTCACACCTTATTGTCTTATTCCGTGATTTTTTTTACGAACTGTACCAGCGTAGCGTTAGCAACCGACTGCAGGAATTTTCCAGCGCTTGTCAAATAACGCGCTGGTCTGGTTTTGCATTTACCGTTACTATAGCGGCACGTTGCTAGGAAAGCTAGCGGCGCTGTATTGATAAGCTAATATGCTTATATGTATGTACGCCCACACCGTTTGTAAAAGAATAAATTCACACATATGTACATACATACTAAATATAATAGGTATTCATACATATATGTACATATATGTCTAAATTAATATAAGCTTCATCTCGGTACACCGTCAACGCTTCAGGCCAATTGAAAACTCAAACTCCATTCCTTTACTCAGTAGATTTTTAGTTTACGATTAGTATACCAAATTTGTGGGTAAAAAAATATCTCTATGGAAAACTTACCTCTTCTCAATGAATTCTAACTGCAATAATGATTATAATTATATTATAATTTCCCCAATCCCAAAGAGCCTATCGTGAACCGTTCCAAATCCCGGGGGCTAGGCGCATATATATTTTCATAAGTTTTGTCCTATAAGGAAAGATCATAAAACAATTTCTTTGGATGTGTGACTGTGTGTGGTGTAACAGCAGCTCTATATCAGTTGACCTTTAGAGCGCAAATCAAATCTGAATTGGTCTCATAGAGCGGCCTCGCTTTCAACCAATCGATGCCTGCTGGAAATATTGATTGGACTAATGGGAAACTATTTCGAGCCTCTGTGGGTTTTGGCGCTGCAGAGCTGGTTATCAGCTTCACCTGTGGAAGTGAGGTAGAGCAGGCAGCAAATCTATAACAAGCGAGCAGGCTCCACTACTTAATACCAATTACCAACTGCCATATAAAAAAATCCAAATAAAAACAAGATAGAACGAGCAAGCCCGACAGTAAAATAGCCTGTACTCTCCACAAAAAAAGAAAAATTTAAAAAAAATTAAATTATTAAAAAAAATGAATGAATTAATTAAATTAAATTAGAATGCATGTTTATGTTCAGTTTTAACAGCATACATTTACATCACGTACCTATGCGTGTTTATATGCGTGTATGTATGCAGCACAAAGTTGAACCAAAGCAGCAACAACAACAGCTGCGGGAAGCGATGCCGACAGAGCTGCAGGCAGCGCATGAGCAGCGATTTTACCTATGGCTATAACTTTCTTCAGAATTGACCTACCATGATGAAATTTGGCACACGGACACATTAGTACTAACTGGATGTACCTACCAAAATTGATTTCAAAACTCCGAGAATTACGGAAGTTATAAGAAAAAACGAATTGCGGGGGAGTGGAGGGGTGCATCAGAAAAAAAAAACAAACTCGTCCTTTTTCGGACTTAGGAGAACCTGGATACCAATTTTGGTTATTCTAGCTCTTATACTTTCTGAGATCCTTGCGTTCATACAGACGGACGGACGGACTGACGAACATGGCTATATCGACTCGTCTTGTCATCCTGATCAAGAATATATATACTTTGTGGGGTCTGCCACGCCTCCTGCTGTGTGTTACATACATGCGCACAAAACTAGTATAGCCTTTCACCATTTGGGTACAAGCTATAAAAAAATAATAAATTAATGGAAAATCTTTAATAGTGGAAAGTTAGGGGGTGCATCAAAAAAAGGCTATACACCTAATCCTGTTTTTACACAATAGATTGGTTCCTAAAAAAGTCGTGAAATAAAACCGTATAAAAAAGACATTGATCATATGCCAAATAAATCGTGTTAAATGGAATAAAGTCGTGTAACCATATATAGAATTTTTAGTTTTCAAACCGTGTTAAAAACAATATTAGGTGTATACAACTCTTGTACATTTCATGTACAGAGAGAGTATAATAATACAAATAATAAAACATATATGAATATAATTTTATTTATATATATACCGTACATAAGTATATAGTACAAGATTTGGTACAGTTAAGTACCCGCAACGGCCAGCACCTCATTTTGAGAGGGTTGGCCCGATTTATTTAGTATTTGGGCGGGGCGTACTCATTCTTCTTCACATTGTGGGGAGAGTAGCGGTTATATAGACCCCAAATTGAGTTCATTAGCTTGCCATTGTATTTGTCCGGCGAGTATTCGCGTTCTGGAAAAGCTTCACTCGATCAATGCATACAAAATATTTGTTTGAGGTCACTTACGTTTTAGGTTTTCAACTGCAGTCTTATCACTAATGAAAGGTTTTATGCACGACACCATTGATTCCCGGTCACGTCCATTGAGCTGCTCTCGTACTTTGCATGCAGCGAAAGCGCCTTGGGGCAGAGTAGCCATGTCAATAGCTGAAAATATAAAAAAGTGAAAAACAATAACTTCACGATAAATGAGTATTCGATTATGTGGTCATGAAGTGGCGCGTTCCTCTTCTAATGACCTTTCCGTCTTTATGTTTTGGTAAGTAGCGTCAGGCAGACGCACAAGAGAGTTATGGTAAAATGTAGTTGGGTAGGATTTAAATTCACGTCTGTTTGCTCTGGTATCTACAATGTTTCTCATTCTTTATTCTGTTTGCAATATTACCCGGACTTGTACTCTTAGTCCGCTGATCAATCACGATTCACTAATGTTGCTATTTCCCGGAGCATACTTGTAGTACTGATTTGTGGTGCTTAACGTGCTGTGCTTCGAGTATTGCAATATTTTGAAGTGGCTCGTACAGTGACCTCTCCTATGTAGCATTACAGAGTGTACTGAATTGGATGGACTTAAGGTGGCTCTGGGGCTGGTATCTCTGTAATGGTACCTTGAGCGGCTGATAACAACAAAATATATGCAGTAATGTAGATGCACTACCAGATTAATGCAAAAACGAAATATGTGGGCTGGCGGCGACTTCGACATACACTGGGTCAAAAATATCAAGTGGAAAAGCTAAAGTCGGGATTCCCGACTTTGAAATACTCTGTACATATGTATGTGTAGAATAATTAACGAAATTAAAACCAGAAGGAACGCTACAGTCGAGCCAGCCCGACAGTAAAATACCATGTACTCTCCACAAAAAAAGGAAAATTAAAAAAAAATTATTTAAAAAAAGTTATTTAATTTAATTAATAAATAAAATTAAATATAAAATAAACATGCATATAATACATTTACATCAGAATCGTGTCTCTGCGTGTTTATATGCGTGTATGTATTCAGCACAAAGTTGAACCAAAGCAGCAAAAACAACAGCTTTGGGCAAAGCTGCAGGCAGAGCATGAGAAGGGATTTGTTTTATGGCTATAACTTCTTTATAATTGACCTATCGTGATGAAACTTGGTATACGGACATATAATCACTAACTGGGTAAGACTACCAAATTTTAGTTCAAAATTTCAAGAATTACGAGAGTTATAGAAAATCATGAATAGGGTGAGTGGGGGGTTGGTGTATCAGAAAAAATGATCAAACTCTTCCTTTCTCGGGCTCAGGAGAATCTGGATACCAAGTTTGGTTAATCTAGCTCTTATACTTTCTGAGATTCTTGCGTTCATACAGACAGACAGGCAGACAGACGGACAAGGCTATATCGACTCGTTTTGTCATGCTGATCAAGAATAATTGTATATATAATTTGTGGGGTGTGCCACGCCTCCTTCTGCGTGTTACATTTTCAGCTCCCGCAAACCTAATATACTCTTGTACATTTTATGTACAGAGTATAAAAAGTTAAACAATTTTTATTCTCTTTTACCTCGTTTGGTATTCGAACTCATGTAAAGGGTGTATAAGAGCATATTTACCTAGGAATTGTGTCTGTGTGCATCTATGCTTGTCTATGCATGTGTGCGGCTGTGATAACATCTATCTTGATGAAACTTGGTATACGGAGACATAATCACTAACTGGAAGTATTTGCCAAATATACAGGGTGCGCCATCTTTTATGTCGGTATGTAGATATTGAATAACTTTGTCATTAGTGAACCGATTGACTTGAGTAGACCAGTGTTGAAAACCTCAGTTCAAGAAATTGTACAGAACCAAATTAAATAAAAATATCTCTTGAAAATCGGTTGTTTATATTCAATGATATTCAATGTTTGCATACCGACATAAAAGATGGCGCACCCTGTACTCTTGTACATTTCATATACAGACTTTAAAAATGAGATAGTACGGACGATGTAGGCTATATAGTAGTTCATAGTTCACAGTATAAATATGTATGTATATGTACATATGCATGTGGTATCGCCTCAGCCTGCTCTAATACAGAACTTCTTTAATACTGTTCACAATTCAAAAGCAATGTAAACCAAACTTTTTACAAAAATGTTTACTTTTCAAAAATTGACTGAAACAATTTTATGTTGGTACGACGTTATACAAGCCTCAGCAACTCCCCTCCTCCATTTTATTACTTTATCCGAAGGTCAAAAAGGAATTATGAATTTGAATATTGTTTAGGTTTTATAGCACCAAGAAGGAAGAATATAATGTTATGTACAATTGCGAGTGTGTCCGTTTGCGGTAACGTAAGGATATATAGACACTATTATGTGTCAAAATGCAATCATAGCTTAGAACCGTAATATTACATGCCACGACTGTAGTACTCTACTTACCAATTAAATTAGCGATTTTGTGCAGGATTGTGCTTTTTTTTATCAGACTGCACCCACTTAGGTATTCTGAGTACACTTTATGGTTGGAATTATTAGCCAACTGCTGACTAATTTCGATTTGATTAGCGTTAACAAGCATAAGCATTCACAAACTGATAGATTGTAGTTGGCAAGGATCAGAAGCCTGTTAAGTAAGTTTAACAATTGGTGCGAAAGATGACGAGCTGCAGTTATTCGTATCACTCTGATTTCTCGGCTGTTCTGTGCAAACAAAGTTCAACAATGAACTGAATTTTACCCACTGCTTCAATCCACATTTATAAAGCACTTTTTGGCGAGACAGAAACCAAATTGATAACAGGCATCAATATACTTCGTAGCCGACTGAGAGACAGAGATCACACTTGATTGATAACGGAAAGCTGTCGCTTACGCCATTTTCCTTAGCATCGTGTTTCAATTAAATATGTACAAACATATGTACATATACATATGTATATATACATATATACATATTTCGACTCGATAAGAAATGCGCTTGCTGTTTTTATAATATTTCAGTTCAGTTCATATGCAGTGCTCTTCTAAACTTAACGCTGATTAGAACCGACATTGGGGCAGGTGACTATGCCAGGCGATTAGTGATTGTTATTGTTTGCTGTAGAATACTACTAGGTGATAAATAAACTACGCATTAATTTAAAGTCAGTCTTAAAATGTGTTTGTCATTTACCGTTAGTGGCCATCAAACTTTACTGCTCGGTTACGTTAATTAGGAATCTTATCTAAGATCAGTTGAGCATAACACTGAACTGGCGTCATGTTGTGGTATAAAATAATGTTTATAGCCTGTACCCAAAGGGTGAAAGGCTATACTAGTTTTGTGCGCATGTATGTAACACACAGAAGGAGGCGTGGCAGACCCCACAAAGTATATATATTCTTGATCAGGATGAGAAGACGAGTCGATATAGCCATGTCCGTCAGTCCGTCCGTCTGTATGAACGCAAGGATCTCAGAAAGTATAAGAGCTAGAATAACCAAACTTGGTATCCAGGTTCTCCTAAGTCCGAGAAAGGACGAGTTTGTGATTTTTTTCTTCTGATGCACCCCTCCACTCCCCCGCAATTCGTGTTTTTTCTTATAACTTCCGTAATTCTCGGAATTTTTAAATGAATTTTGGTAGGTACATCCAGTTAGTACTAATGTGTCCGTGTTCATGATAGGTCATCATGATAGGTCAATTCTGAAGAAAGTTATAGCCATAAGTAAAATCGCTGCTCATGCGCTGCCTGCAGCTCTGTCGGCAGCGCTGCCCGCAGCTGTTGTTGTTGTTGCTGCTTTGGTTCAACTTTGTGCTGCATACATACACGCATATAAACACGCATAGGCACGTGATGTAAATGTATGCTGTTAAAACTGAACATAAACATGTATTCTAATTTAATTTAATTAATTCATTCATTATTTTTAATAATTTAATTTTTTTTAAATTTTTTATTCTAATTTTTCCTTTTTGTGGAGAGTACAGGCTATTTTACTGTCGGGCTTGCTCGACTGTAGCGTTCTATCTTGTTTTATTCTCTATACCCAAAGGAAAAAAGGCAATATTAGTTTTGTATTAGATTTTGAAGATACATGCAATTAGTTTTTGCCTTTAAATTTGTAGGCAATCCCATTAGTAAATACCGTGGAACTGATGCTTATCAAATAAAAAACAAGAAAGGAATGCTAAAGTCGAGCGAGCTTAACTCTTAAATATCCTGTACCTACCACTAAAAACAAAAAAAATAAAAAAAAATTTTAATTAATTTAAAAAAATTACATTAATTAAATTACAGACATGTTCATTTACAAGTTTCAACAGCATACATTTACATCAGAATCGTGTCTGTGCGTGTATGTATGCAGCACAAAGTTGAACCAAAGCAGCAACAACAACAGAGCTTGGGCAGCGATTTTATTTTACCTATCATGATTAAACTTGGCGTACATACATAATCATAATCACTAACGGGATGTACAAGGTGCAATTCAAAAGTTCCAGGACTTTTATTAAAAAACGAAAACTATTTTTTTTTTGAAAAATTTATTGGTCGCCTTCAAAAATAGTCTCCTTCCGCCTGAATACAACGTTTTGCACGTTCAAGAAGGTGATCGAACGACTTTTTTAGGTCATTTATCGGTATAGCAATGAGGATGGCGGTCGCCGCCTGTTGTATGGCATCAACGTCAGCATAGCGGTTTCCTTTCATGGCCAAATGTAGTTTTCCGAAAAGGTAGAAGTCGCACGGTGCCATATCAGGTGAATACGGCGAGTGGTTAATGGTTAAAATGTAATTTTTGGTCAAATAATAGGTCACAATCGGTTGATTTTTGAGCAATTTTTGGTCGTCAGTCAATTTGTGCGGAACAAACCGTGCACACACCTTTCGTAAGCCCAAATGTTCGGTCAAAATGCGATAAATCGATGTTTTGGAGATGTTCAATTCCATTTCCATCAATTTCAATGATGATTTCGGCTGATTTTTGGTGAATTCACGCACTGTTTTGATGGCATTTTTGGTGATCACGAATTTTGATTGGCCCACATGTTGATCGTCATTTATGTCCTCACGACCACTTTGAAAACGTTGAAACCACTCGTGCACTCTGCTACGGGATAGGCAATCATCGCCATAAACTTGTTTCATCAATTTCGGTAAAAGTTTTACCAATTTTAAAACAAAATTTAATGTTGGCTCTTTTTTTCGAAGCTCATTTCCCGACCGATAACACAAACATACTGACACTTAAAACGCAATAACTTCACTTCCAATCGATGAAATGTCATGAAATTGTCACTGGACAATCGATAAAGATAGCAGATTCTAACGCACCAGTCGACATATAGATAGCGCCACCAGGCGTATCACCCTGATCAAGAATATATATACTTTGTGGGATCTGCCAAGGCTCCTTCTGTGTGTTATATACATTCGGACAAAACTAGTATACCCTTTCACCCTTTGGGTACAGGGTATAAAAATTCGGCTTTCATTCATTTGATTTTATTTTCAAAATTATGTTATTCAATTGGCTCTAGTTATGTTGAGTAAGTACTACAAATTTGGAAACCGTCAAAAAAAAACTTGCACAGCGCGTCCTGTCTGTCTGTCTGTCCGTATGAGCACCTGGATCTCAGAGACTATAAGAGATAGAGACACCAAATTTTGCACAAAGATGCGTTATGTGTGTATTCTATACGAGTTTGTTTTATTTTTTTGATTTTCTCCCCCACTTTCCCCCTATGGGGGTTTTCCCGATTTTCCATTCGTATAATCGCCTATATCTCGGAGACTATAAGACCTAGGCACACCAAATTTTAGTCCCAGATGCCTTATGTGAATACGCAGAAAATGTATGTTTTGGAATTTCCCTCCCTCCCCCCTCTCCCATGCAAATGCGATTTTCTCTAACTCCCGTAATTCTTGGAATTTCGAACTAAAATACCCCCAGTTAGTAATTATGTGTCCGTATGCCAAGTTTCACTATGATAGATTTACCAAGAAGTTATAGCCATAAATATATTTGCTGCTGCAGCGCTGCTCAAGCGCTGCCCGCGGCTGTTGTTGATGTTGCTGTTTGGTTGACTGCGAAAATGCTTACACAGACACGAATTGATGCGCATAGGCATACATACACTGACACAGATGCAATTGCTATGTAAATGTGCAATTATACACCCTTTACGTGAGTTCGAATACCGAGAGAGGTAAAATCCATCCAATGTTTTTTTTTTTTTATTTTTTTTTATTTTGTATAATTATTGTAAACATATGTACAGAGTATTTCAAAGTCGGGACACCCGACTTTAGCTTTTTTACTTGTTTCATTGATCATATGAATAAACTAGCAGGTATTGCCCGTCTTAACCCGGCTCAATATAATGTTTCCAATTGTATTTATTTTGTGTGTGCATAACCTACCCATATGTTTTCACCTTATAAGTTACCAGTAGGAAGGCATTTAAGGTATTTAAATGAACATTTTCTGTTCTTGACAAAAAATTGTTCAGTAGTCCGTTACATTTTTGTTCTTGCCAAACTATTTCTTTAAACGAACATGACCACTATAACTAATATTTTTTTAAACCTCCCCCCTTTGGAGTTAGAATTTTCCAAAAGCCTTTCTTAGTGTGCTCCTACACTATGATGGATACTATGAAAGGATACTTGAGTCCAAATTTCATCTTTTACCGTTTGGGCTGTGCGTTGATCACCAATTAGTCAGGACAAACTGTTTTATATATAGAGATAACGCAACGTTTTAAGATAGACTATGTGCAAAAAAGGGGAATAATTATAAGGGTATATCCTAATTTTAAATTCACATTTGAGTCAATACGGTCACGCACAAACTCGGAATATGAAACACGGCACTCGTGTCAATGCCGTGCAGCGATGAGCCACGATCAAAAAGCACTGACAATTCTCATCTCAATTTGCTAGAGTAAAACTTTCGATAGTTGAAGACACCGATACCATCAAAATATCGAAGTTTGAATGCAATAAGCAGAATATTTAAATAATAAAATCTAATTATTTATTGAGATCGATAAGAACAAATCATATACATACATACATCTGCCCGCAATGCGAAGCAGAATATGCGTAGCTCCGTTATTCGGTTTCTGCTTTACTATCGCATACGCAGTCGTTGCTTAGCGACGGTAACTGTAAACTTTTGGCGTTTTGCCTTTGCAATTAACATTAAATGGTCAAAACGAAAGAAGATGAGCGAGCCAACAACTTGAAGTTGTTGTTGTTGTTTTGTATTTACATGCTTCATACATATACAGGCATAGATACATATGCTTGTACATATGTATGTATGCATGGGCACACATAGACACGAACTGTTCCCAACTATTTGATATTTGATATATGGCAAGTAAAAAACATATTGCTATATTTTAATCGTTGAATGCCAATTTGTTGATATAGTTATGTTGATTACATTACCCAAATTTGAAATCGATCGGACAAAATTTATAACACAAACTATTCATTTGAAAAAGTGAATAAATATTAAAACCCCAATAATAAAATTAAATGCGATATATCGAAAATATCGATACTTGTGTTGATATATCGTAATACATGTCGAATACAAATACATCGAAAAACATCGTTTGAGAGTTATTGATTATAATACTGTATTCGATTGTTCACTGTACACATATGTACATACATACATACAAATTTATTTGTATGTGTACTGTAACTGTAAACTTTTGGCATTTTGCGTATGTAATGAACAGGCGTAAATGATCAAAACGAAAGAAGATTTGCGAGCCAATAACTTGAAGTTGTTGTTGTTGTTTTAAAAATTTTGATTTGAAACCATAGAAAACTATTTTTTACAATTAAACAACAGTGTTCGATAGCCCACTGCATACTTGTACATACAAACCTATATACATATGTATATAGGAATGTATGAACGTACATACATACTTATTGATGTACATACATACATATGTACATGCTATACATACAGACGTATGTACGTATGTAATACATATGGTGCTGGCGTAATTCATAATGCGAAATTCTTTCTAAGGGGAGAAATGTCCCCCCTGCCCAACCTGCGTACGCCCTTGTAGTCCGTTGTCCTACAAACCCCTTATGCCAAATGTACTAAACAAAGAAAAAATAGCATAAAAATGTTTATGTTATAATGTTAATAATTTTTAATTAATTAAGATTTCTTGCCCTGTCAGTGCAAGACGAATGTACTTTTGTACATACATATTTGTACATACATATGTACATACATGTGTACAAATGAACATTCACACATTAGTGTCTCACATTTTGCTTTGGCTACTTCAACCGTTTACACGCAACTACACGAACAGCTGCTTGTATGTATGTATGTGTGTGTGTGTGTATGTATACTTAGTTGTCCCCAACTGTTTGATATTTTGTATTGTTTGTTCTACCTGCATTTGTAAAATGCATATTTTAAAAATCGTTAAATGCAAAGTTGTAATTTTAGTTACGTAGATTATATTACCCAAATTTGAAATCGATCTGACAAAATTTATAACACAAACTTTTCATTTGAAAAAATGAATAAATATTAAAACCCCAATAATTCAAGCTCCAACACAAATTTAAAGTTGATCGATTCAAAAATGCAGAATTTTCAAACAAACTTTGGAGCTACTTTTCCCCCTTTTCCAAAATCCCTTCTTAGTGCGCATCTACACCATGATAGGATACTTGAGCCCAAATTTCAGTTTCCTAGCTTTTACCGTTTGGGCTGTGGGGTGTTGATTGTGTTTCAATTTTTCCACGGAAAACCCCACTTTTTTCATGCCCCAGGAAAAATGGTGAAAAACCAAGTATACAGTTTTTCTTGTATTCTTTTTGAGAGTATACAAACTAAGTTTGAAGTTAATTGGATGAAAATTGTAGATTTTTCATACAAACGTTGGAGCCCGTTTTCCCCCCTTTGGCGTTCGAATTTTCCAAAACCGCTTCTTAGTGCTCACCTACACCACTGAAGACAACATGTGTCCAATTTTCAGCCTCTTAGCTCTTACCGTTTGGGCTGTGCGTTGATTGCACATAGCTTTTCGTTTACCGAATTTTCCACCGGAAAATCATTATTATTCAGGCCGCAGGAAAAATATTGAAAATCCAAGTATACAGTTTTTTTTGTATTCTTTTTGAGAATATACGAACTAAGTTTGAAGTTAATCGGATAAAAATTGTAGATTTTTCATACAAACGTTGGAGCTCGTTTTCCCCCCTTTGGAGATCGAATTATCCGAAACCCCTTCTTAGTGCTCACTTTCACTATAAGAGGGATCTTGTGTCCAAATTTCAGCTTCCTAGCTCTTACCGTTTGGGCTGTGCGTTGATTGCCAATCAGTCAGTCAGTCAGTCAGTCAGGACAAACTGTTTTATATATATAGAGATAATTTTTCAAATTCAAAGCGCATTATTTAATCAACATTTTGATTTTTTGGGCCCCCCTTTTGTAAAAGCTGAGTACGCCTTTGTGTATATACGTTCACACATTAGTGTTTCAATCGATTGCACGCAACTACACGAACAGCTGCTTGTATGTGAGTGTGTGTATTATACTAAATTGTCCCCAATATTTGGTCTGCATTTTTGTTGTTTGTTCTGCCTGCATTTGTAAAGCGAAACCCGTATTTTTATAGCCTGTACCCAAAGAATAAAAGGCTATACTAGTTTTGTGCGAATGTATGTAAAACACAGAAGGAGGCGTGGCAGACCCCACAAAGATATATGTTCTTGATCAGGGTGACAAGCCGAGTCGATATAGCCATGTCCGTCCGTCCGTCCAATATTGAAGCTAGTGTAATTTAAAATATGAGGTGAAGGGCTGGCAATCTTTTTGACCCATTACTAAATTGTGCTTTTTTTTTTGGCTTAAAGCATTTGAACATAATTATATTTTTTAATTATTTAATTATTAAAAAATTAAAATAACACATTATTGAAAATAAATGTATCATTAAATGATTTTTATGTTAAAACTTGCCAGTTTTATTAGGCAAATATTGCACCGGCAACAAAATTGAACTTTGAGATCATATTGTGCACCTTCTAAATATCATAGCAAAATTTGCAATGATTTGATTTAAATTTGTTTGATGAAAATATCTGTATCCGTTCAAGAGATATCTATTTAAATCTTAATCGGCATTTTCATTGCTGGCATTTTTGATGCTGGCATTAGTCCCAGGCGTACACCTTCCCCGGTGTGGGCAGATTAGATTTGGGCGTTGCACCAGCATCACCAGATGCCTCCAACAGCTTCTGTTGCTGCACCAAATCGATTGGTGGAAACACCTCACGACATCCATCGCGCAAACAATAATACAAGGTGTGTTCCAAAGTAAACAGGACTTTTTAAAAAACAAGTAAAAAAGCTAAAGTCGGGTGTCCCGACTTGGAAATACTCTGTACATATGTTTAGAATAATTATAGAAATTAAAAAAAGAGAATTACCAAAAAAAGCAGCAAATATATTTATGGCTATAACTTCTTGTTAAATCGGTCTATCATGATGAAACTTGGCGTGCGGACACATAATTACTAACTGGGGGTAATTGAGAAATTTTAGTTCGAAATTCTAAGAATTACCGCGATTTGCATTGGAGAGGGGGGAGGTAGGGAAATTCCAAAATACACGTTTTCTGCGTATTCACATTTGGTGTCCGTAGGTCTTATAGTCTCCGAGATATAGGCGATTATACGAATGGAAAATCGGGAAAACCCCCATAGGGGGGAAGTGGGGGCCAAAATCAAAAAAATAAAACAAACTCGTATAAAATACACACATAAGGCATCTTTGTGCAAAATGTGGTGTCTTTAGCTCTTTTAGTCTCTGAGATCTAGGTGATCATACGGACGGACGGACGGACAGACAGACAGGGCTAAATCGACTCGTCTTGTCATACTGATCAAGAATATATATACTTTGTGGGGTCTGCCACGCCTCCTTCTGTCTGTTACATTTTTCAGCTCGCGCAAACCTAATATACTCTTGTACATTTCATGTACAGAGTATAAATATGAAAAATATGAAACTATATTGCATGCATTTGAAGCGTCCAACGTCCAAACGGTATGCGTCCGGCTAAGAGAGGTTTTCTTTCAAATTTGATGTGTGATGCATGTCAGAGTCCGTTAACACGAGCCAAAACACCAGCCAGAAGAGGTTTTACTTCGAATTTCTCGAAAAATAGTGTCCGCGTCCGGTCAAGAGAGTGTCCGCACAAGAGAGGCGAACTTACTCTAAAAAGTACACCAAAACGAATGTTCTACAAAAAGTATCCTTCTAAGAGGGGTGTCCGGATAAAAGAGGTGTCCGTTAAGGGAGTTTTCACTGTATAGAGATGACCAAGCAGTTCCAGCAGCTGTTGTTGTTATAGACATAAACAGACACACACGCATAAATATTCTATGTATGTACAGAGTATTTCAAAGTCGGGACACCCGACTTTAGCTTCTCTACTAGTCTGCAAATACTTTGAAAGTAAATAATCGGCCAAAATCTTGCCCCTGGACTAAATCCTGGCTACACCCATGTATAGATTACGTGAGCGTTTGGTTTATGTAGCTTTTCAAGTGCGGGAAATTAAAAAATAAAATAATCTCGTGGTCCCTAGGGACTAGGAGCGTATACATACCAAGTATGGTTAATGTGCGTTCAGCCGTTTTCGAAATCCAAGCGTTCATTCATACGAGCGGACATCTCTACATCGATTTCTCTCGTCATGCCGATTAAGAATGTATTCACTATATGGGGTCGGAGATGCTTCCTTCTGCCTGTTACATACTTTGTATAAACCTAATATACGATTTTTACCTTACGGGTACAGAATATGAAAATAATAAGGCAGCTCTACTCTTAAGGCAGTTTCTTTCTAAACACAAGTGTTCTTTATACTGGAAAGAAAAGAAATATTTCTAAGTCAGAAATATTCTTAAAGCAGAGATTACATTTGTGGCTATAGCTTCCTTTACAGTTGTGAGGACAACTACCCGAGCCAACCCTTGGAGTTGCCAAAAAATACATAAAAAATGTATAACTGTAAAAGTCTAAAAGAAGTATGCCTCATTTTACAAACAAGAATTGGAAATTCTCAGTTAAGATTACAAAAAGCAAAAAAACAAATACAATTTCACTACACTTACGCACTTCACATTTTATTGTTTATAATTACTTCGTTAAGCTTAATTATCAATTTGTTTAACAATTTATGTTAAATACAAATGTTGTGTGTACGTGGATAGGCGGTGGCCAGCGTCAATTTATGCATAAGGGTAAAATAAATAATAAATTTTAACAACTTGGAAGTGGTACCTACATTCAGAAATAAATAAAAATATCCGCTTGTATACAGGCTAATAGACAGATTGATACTACTGCGACTTTTTGCTCTCTAAGCCCACTTGCTTAGCCGGTGGCAACCGCTCCACAGCCTGCTTGTACAATTGATTAAGTCCAAAAGTAGCACGCATGTTATCGCTAGAAAAGAAAAACTTTTGCAACTTTCCCTTAGCATCCACACAAGGCCGACGATCCACCTCCTTGCCCAGCTGGAACAGTACGACGGTGGGCAACTGGCGAGAGAAACTGCTGTCTGAAATGCGAAACTTCTGTGCCACATCTGGGAAGCGACCAATATCGATTTTGCCGAATTTCAGCAGATCCGTGTTATACTCCGCCGAAAGCTCAGCAAAAATAGGTGCAAAATTTACACAACTCGGATTCCAAACAGTGTAAAAGCAAATTAGCCAGCTTACACGCTTCTCTCGGTCCAGCTCTTCCTCGAACACTTGCGCATTCCGGAAGTAGGTAATGTGCTCTGGTCCGCGGTATGAAGGCTCTGGTAGTAACATTCCAACCAGCACGCACAATAGCAGAAAAGCAACACCATAGCGATAGTCTGCATAGGCCCAAAGAATGGCATTGGCCACTTTTGTATATAGGAACGACGAGGACAAATAGTTAATCATAGTAACACTGCCAGTTTTTCGTGAGCGTATCATAACAACTATGAGCAGGAAGAACAATATCTCCGTTTCGCGGCTGTCCAAGTCGCACAGGTCCTCTTGGTCACCGCTGTGAAATATGCGCCTGCATGTTAAAGGTGCTTTTTTGGCCAGCAAATAAGAGATTGCCAGCAGGATGTTTACCCAATAATAGGGCTGCGCTAGCACGGTAAGTTGCTTCTTCCACGTCATGACGTTACAGCAGCGCACTCAACGATTCATTTATGAAATGAGGTCAAGATTTTAATTAAGAATTTACTTAATTTTACCAAGTCGTTTATTCAGCAATGTGGGACTACAATTATCGATTACTATGCGTGATACATGCCAAACAATTTTTAAAAAAGTGGCAATGAGGCGGTATTTTTGGTATTATTTTGCTTATAATTTATTTGAATAGATATTTCAAGGGATATTTTATGAAGGAAATTTAAAAAACCAATTAGTTTTCAGGTTACTTTAAGATTATGTTTTGCATATGTTTCGAGGATTTTATGGATACACTAAAAAATTACTAATGTATTGCTCTACAGGTCAGTAGGAATGTAAATTCAAAAGTCGAGCTATAAATGGTAATTTTATTTTAGCCCCGATCATTAAAATAAAATATTTGGACGTGTCTCGGATTTCGCTTTCATCAAAACTATATTGTAAAGAGAATACACATGGTGTTTCTGTAAAAAAAAATTGCAGGAGATGCCAACGGGATGGATCAAAATCTATCCTAGTTAGGTGAGTTGGTATGACTGTTTTATAAATTTCCCGTACGTGGAGTTGCCACCTAAAAGAGCAAGTTTGGCGGGAAAACATTTAAGGCATATATGCGGTATACGGCCCGCCCCAATATATCTTTATACTTTTTTTTCGAAATCAACCGATATTTTAGTTATTGAAAGTTTTAACTCTTAATAAGCTTAGATTTTTAGATTATCTTCAACCGATAGCGCTTTTCTTTTACCCATATTAAAGAAAACATATCACTGAAGCAAAAAACAAGTAGAAAAGCTTAAGTCGACTCCCGCAATTCTTGGAATTCCGAACTAAAATTTGGTAAATACATCCCGTTAGTGATTATGTGTCTGTATGCCAAGTTTCATCATGATAGGTCAATTCTGAAGAAAGTCATAGCACAAACCATACAACTAGAAAGTCATAGCACTAACCATACAATAAGAAACCTAAACTGAAAAATTTAATGACGATTTTGAATAAAACACGAAGAATTAACAAATGCGTCCGTTTTATTTCATTTCCAGCTTAAGACTGATTGTACAGAATTTATATATTTTACATATTACTAGCAGGTATTGCCCGTCTTAACCCGGCTCAATATAATGTTTCCAATTGTATTTATTTTGTGTGTGCATAACCTACCCATATGTTTTCACCTTATAAGTTACCAGTAGGAAGGCATTTAAGGTATTTAAATGAACATTTTCTGTTCTTGACAAAAAATTGTTCAGTAGTCCGTTACATTTTTGTTCTTGCCAAACTATTTCGTTCAACGAACATGACCACTATAACTAATATTTTTTAAAGCTCGTTTTCCCCCCGTTGGAGCTAGAATTTTCCAAAAGCCTTTCTTAGTGTGCTCCTACACTATGATGGATACTATGAAAAGATACTTGAGTCCAAATTTCATCTTTTACCGTTTGGGCTGTGCGTTGATCACCAATTAGTCAGGACAAACTGTTTTATATATAGAGATAACGCAACGTTTTAAGATAGACGATTTGCAAAAAAGGGGGAATAATTATAAGGGTATATCCTAATTTTAAATTCACATTTGAGCCTTTTCGTGCCATATTGAGTCAATACGGTCACGCACAAACTCGGAATATGAAACACGGCACTCGTGTCAATGCCGTGCAGCGATGAGCCACGATCAAAAAGCACTGACAATTCTCATCTCAATTTGCTAGAGTAAAACTTTCGATAGTTGAAGCCACCGATACCATCAAAATATCGAAGTTTGAATGCAATAAGCAGAATATTTAAATAATAAAATCTAATTATTTATTGAGATCAATAAGAACAAATCATACATACATACATCTGCCCGCAATGCGAAGCAGAATATGCGTAGCTCCGTTATTCGGTTTCTGCTTTACTATCGCTTACGCAGTCGTTGCTTAGCGACGGTAACTGTAAACTTTTGGCGTTTTGCCTTTGCAATTAACATTAAATGGTCAAAACGAAAGAAGATGTGCGAGCCAACAACTTAAAGTTGTTGTTGTTGTTTTGTATGTACATGCTACATACATATACAGGCATACATGCATATGCATGTACATATGTATGTACATATGCATGGGCACACATAGACACGAACTGTTGCTTGTTGTATGTATGTGTGAGTGTGTGTATGCGATGTCCCCAACTATTTGATATTTGATATATGGCAAGTAAAAAACATATTGCTATATTTTAATCGTTGAATGCCAATTTGTTGATATAATGTTGATTACATTACCCAAATTTGAAATCGATCGGACAAAATTTATAACACAAACTTGAATAGTTTGAAAAAGTGAATAAATATTAAAACCCCAATAATAAAATTAAATGCGATATATCGAAAATATCGATACTTGTGTTGATATATCGTAATACATGTCGAATACAAATACATCGAAAAACATCGTTTGAGAGTTATTGATTATAATACTGTATTCGATTGTTCACTGTACACATATGTACATACATACATACAAATGTATTTGTGTGTGTACGGTAACTGTAAACTTTTGGCATTTTTCGTATGCAATTAACAGCCGTAAATTATCAAAACGAAAGAAGTTTTGCGAGCCAATAACTTGTTGTTGTTGTTTTAAAAATTTTGATTTGAAAACATAGAACACTATTTATTACAATTAAACAACAGTGTTCGATGGCCCACTGCATACATACAAACCTATATATGTATATAAGAATGTATGTACGTACATACATACTTATTGATGTACATATGTACATACTATACATACAGACGTATGTACATATGTATGTACGTATGTAATACATATGGTGCTGGTGTAATTCATAATGCGAAATTCTTTCTAAGGGGAGCAATGTCCCCCCTGTCCAACCTGCGTACGCCCTTGTAGTCCGTTGTCCTAAAATCCCTTATGCCAAATGTACTAAACAAAGAAAAAATAACATAAAAATGTTTATGTTATAATGTTAATAATTTTTAATTAATTAACATTTCTTGCCCTGTCAGTGCAAGACGAATGTACTTTTATACATATGTATGTATGTATATATGTACATACATTTGTACAAATGAACATTCACACATTAGTGTCTCACATTTTGCTTTGGCTACTTCAACCGTTTGCACGCAACTACACGAACAGCTGCTTGTATGTATGTATGTGTGTGTGTGTATGTATACTTAGTTGTCCCCAACTGTTTGATATTTTGTATTGTTTGTTCTGCCTGCATTTGTAAAATGCATATTTTAAAAATCCTTGAATGCAAAGTTGTAATTTTAGTTACGTAGATTATATTACCCAAATTTGAAATCGATCGGACAAAATTTATAACACAAACTTTTCATTTGAAAAAATGAATAAATATTAAAACCCCAATAATTCAAGCTCCAACACAAATTTCGAAAAACCGAGTATGCAGTTTTTTTGTATTCTTTTATAGATTATAAAAACCAAATTTAAAGTTGATCGATTCAGAAATGCAGAATTTTCAAACAAACTTTGGAGCTACTTTTCCCCCCTTTGGAGCTCGAATTTTCCAAAACCGCTTCTTAGTGCTCACCTACACCACTGAAGACAACATGTGTCCAATTTTCAGCCTCCTAGCTCTAACCGTTTGGGCTGTGCGTTGATTGCACATAGCTTTTCGTTTACCGAATTTTCCACCGGAAAATCATTATTATTCAGGCCGCAGGAAAAATATTGAAAATCCAAGTATACAGTTTTTTTTTGTATTCTTTGTGAGAGTATACAAACTAAGTTTGAAGTTAATCGGATAAAAATTGTAGATTTTTCATACAAACGTTGGAGCTCGTTTTCCCCCCTTTGGTGCTCGAATTTTCCGAAACCCCTTCTTAGTGCTCACTTTCACTATAAGAGGGATCTTGTGTCCAAATTTCAGCTTCCTAGCTCTTACCGTTTGGGCTGTGCGTTGATTGCCAATCAGTCAGTCAGTCAGTCAGGACAAACTGTTTTATATATATAGATATATATATATTTTATATATTTTAATTAACAAGTGAAGACAAAAAGAATTAAATTATCAGCAATCATACACGCGCTTCATATGTGGTATTTTTATGCAAAAAGTGCCTTACAATTACTAATTATGTATATAATCCCGCACGTTTATGACAGTAGTGGCACTCGCTTGAGAAAGTAGGCCCTACGTATTGACAAAGCTATATACTACACATGACATCACTAATTTAATTTAATTAATTTTTGGCTCACTTACAAAGAAACACAGACTTTCTATGGGACAAACAAAATTAGTTTTGTAAAGCTACTGAAGAAAGAAGCAGCCGTGTACCTTTTTCTTGCTCAGCATACAGCAATAGCGCAGATTTGCCGCTTTTGAAATGTTCACCAAGATGATGGAAAAATGTATTTTCCAAGTTTTTTTTAAAGCATTTCTTGTAAAAATAAATTTAGCTTTTTATTACGCTTTTTTGCAATAATTTTTAGCTTTATTTCACTCTCCTTCCCGACAAAAACAGCTTTTTTTCCTTCTAAAAAGTTGGCAACACTGTGTGTAGTGTAGTGTGTTTGTGTGTAGTGTGAGTGCATTATGACTGTCAGCATAATATTCTACTGTATTAGCATAATATGCTACTATATATGTGCACGCACACATTCAAAGATCATAAGCGACACAGATCGACCGTCACTGTTGACTGCCTCTCTGCGAATGAAATTCGCTCACAGAGAGCACTAATGGGCAGTGTTGCCAACTTTTCAGAAGGAAAAAAAACTGTTTTTGACGGGAAGACAGGTGAAATAACGCTAAAAAATATCTCAAAAAAGCGTAAAAAAAGCTGAATTTTGTTCACTAAAAAGGCTTAGCAAATTAAGTTTATAAATGTTTTTTATCATCTTGGTGATAATTTATATTTATTTATAGAAGATGTATTATATTATCTAATTCATCATATTCGTTGGAATCGTTCATATGAAATACTTGTGCCAATCATATTCAAATAAGTTGTCGGAAGTTTGTAATTGTAGCAACATTTTCCAACTCTTCGCAGTCCATATCTGTAAATAAAATAAAATATTCAAG